TAAGCTCTGCCACTGGTTGTGACCCACAGTGTTCCCTGAGATTAACCCTATACGGGATGGGACTGAGACCTTCAGAGGCTCTAAACCATGAAAAGATTACAGGTGAAAGACATGGCCTGTTTATAGAGTAGAGGTCTCTAAAGGGGAGCTGCAGTGGAGGGTGCATGGAGGGTCTTGGAGGCAGAAGGCTGGAGAGGAAGGCTGGGCTTAGGCAGCAAAGGGGTTCAACTGCCACACAAATGAGATTGGACACTTCCCATAGGCAACTGGGAATCACTGTTAAGTGTTCAACCCCAGAAAGAGCAAAGTTTGTCCCATATTATAGAAAGATCACAGGATGAACTGGGAGGAGGATGATTGGAATGACCAAGTCAAGAATGGGGGAATCTATCTGGAAGCTGCTTCCAGCATCCATGTGAGAGAGGATGGATGAGATCGTAATTGAAGAAATAACCAGGAGAATGGGGAGCACAGAAGAGACAAACTTGAGAAATGCTTTTCTCATTTTCTCAAGCCCAAAATCAATAGGACTTGGCGGCTGAGGCTTTTAGCTTGAGTGACTGGGCCAGTATGATACTGGTTATCGAGGCAGGTACAGAGGAGGTTGGTGGGAACAAAATCAGTTCAGTTTTGGAACAGGTTTGAGACACCTGTCAAGAACATTTCAGGATGGAAATATGTTTCAATTTTTCATTCATTGAATAACACATTAATGGGACTGGACATTTCTATCTTGACAAATAGGGATGTTAAAGAAATAATATACGCCATTGCCATCATTTCAGGAAAGAGAATATTTTGCCACCAAAAAGTTTTAAAAAGGCAGAATGTCAGAATAAAGGACAATCATTTATAATTAAATACATTGAGATTATTGAAAAACTCTACTTTTGATGTTTTTCCCATTTTGCCATGACCCGTTAAAAACATTACTGTGTATCAGCTTCATTTGTGGATTGTAATTGACAGCCACATATTTGAGGACTGAGCAGAAGAAAGGTCAGCAAAAGATACACAGGGGGGTGGTTCCAGAAGTAGGAAGGAAAACCAGCAGATAGTGACCAGGAAAGAAAGGAGAGCCTCAGAAATGAGGACTTGGCCAAGAGTGCCTTTGGCCACCCAGAGTTCAAAAAGATCATTGAACTTGGCACTTAAGTGGTCGTTGGTGACCTTTGGTAGTGCCCTTTCACAAGGAGGATGGGGCTGAAGCCAAATGGCAGTAGGTTGAAGTATGAAGGGGAAGTTGGGAAAAGTATAGAATCTACGTTCAACAAATTTGAGGGTGAAGGAAAGAAAAGAGAGAAAGGGAGGGGAAGAGAGAGAAAGATACTGAGAGTTAGGGGAGCAAGAGAATACTTTTAGGAAAGGAGGGACTTAATTCTGGGGGGTAACAGAGACAGGTACTTTATAATCAGGAGGGAAAGAGCTGGTATAAAGAAGCCAAGGTTTCCTGAAGAGAAGGGTCATAATGTCCAGAGGAAGGCCCCAGAGAAGGAGGGGGTGGATGAGGCCAAGGCCTGGGTGAACAGATTAGCCTTTAACGAGAGGGGCACCTTGTCCCCTGAGAAGGGAGGGCTGGAGGGGAAGGAAATTGGAGAGGCAGGCCAGTTTGGGGGGAGTGGGGCAGGGCACTGAGGTAATTCACACTTCAAAGCCTGTGTTTTCTCAGGGAAGTGGGAGGAGAGGTTGTTCTGTGGACAGAGGGGCGGGGCAGGAACGTGGTAGTAGTTGAAGCAAGTTTGGAATGTGCCCCAGGGAATGGGGACACTCGAGCTGGGGAGAGCTGAGGAATGGACAAGGGAACATGCTCCAGGGTGGAAGGGAGTACCAGGCACCACTGACATTGATTGAGCCTATCCCATGCAGGTCTTGTCTCCCTCCCTAGCTGTCAGCACCGTGAGGCAGAGTCTGTTCCTCTTTATAGTTCATTCTCTTGCCTGACAAGGTCCAGAAGTATCTGGCCCAGAGGAGGCACCAAGCCCTCTCTGAATGTTCTGGCAAAGCAATCACTGACAAAACCCAGAGGCACCATAAGGCTGTTAGGGGTAAGAGAGGTAGGATCATAACTGCCGTGACAGGAAGTTCTTCATTTTGATTATTCCAGACCTTTCTTGCCACTTTGCTGGCCACCTCACTCCTTTTATGTGCTAAGGGCAAAGGAGAACAGCCAGGTTCCCATTCTTACCCAGCAACCCTTGCGGTTCTTAAATCCTTCAGAATGAGGAGGGGTCCCCAAAGGGGCCAGTGGCTTCACCTCCCACAAGCTAAATGAGGCTGAGGCAATTCTTAGGGAGGTAGTGAGACACAGCAGCTGTGCAGCTGGAGAAGAAAGATCCACAGACACAGGCCTGAATGCTACCTGAGCTCTAGGAGAAGATGTCAGGAGCTGGCACGAGGGGAACCCCCAGGCCTGCAGCTCAGGGGAGTGAAGGGGCTGGATGGCCCTGATTGTGAAAGATTGTGGCTGAATGGACACAAGTTCAAGATGGTTGGGCATGAGCCCTGGGCTATGGAGGAATATCTACCTCTTCTCTCTTTCCTCGCTCCTGACCATTTTCAAGCCACCTAGAAGTCAAAAAGATCCTCAGGTTTGACAATAGGTCAGCTTCTATCTCCTTCACGTGCCATCTCCTTCCAGCCCAGTCTCTTCATCCTGACTACCTCTCAGCCTCGCCCCCTCCTTTGAGCCAGTGGCACAATACATGCACAATTTCATCTCCTGGAGGTAAATTTAGCAAGAACCCTCAGAGACTGACAAACTCGGGCTCCCCATCAGCTCTGCTCGCCATCCCCCCACTCCCCCGTTCCTCTAGATTTTCCACTCCAAGATCCAGGATCCGGGATCCAGCCCATACTTACACAATTCAGGGACAGAGGGCTTAGCCCAGTCCAAGACTCCACTCATTTCACCACATATAATAAAGCTCTGTTTATGGAGAATCGATACAGTGCCAGGTCTCTGGGTTAGGTGGAGGCTGGGCTGTTACAAAGTTTTCCTTCGACTGAGCCAAAATGTGTCACCCTGTAGCTTCTACCCATGGGCCTCAGTCCTGCCCTTTGAAGTCACACAGAACAAGTGTAATCTCATTTCAGTCAAATCCTCAGATATTTGAAAATGGCTATCATTTCCCCAGCAGTTTTCTCTCCTCTGTGGATAAACATTTCTTTCTTTTGTTTTAATTTTGTGTCTTTACTTTTTATTACCCAAACAGTATCAGGGCTTGTGGAACTTTCAGGAAAACTCAGAAAAGCCTAAAGAAGGAAGTAAAAGTCTACCATAATCTTATTCCCAGAAACCACTGTAACTTTCTCCTTTCTTCTAACCAGACTTTTTTTCCCCCCTGCATACTGTATATTCTACACTTCTTTTTTTCTTACTAAAACAGGATCATCCTCCAAGTTATATGATAAAGGCTCCTTTTTTTCACTCTTCAATATATTAACCTTTTCCCAATCTTCTACCACGCCAGTTTTAATATGAACCTGTGTAACTGTTCAATGATTTATTTAACTGGCTTTCTAAAGTAAGACATTTGGCTTGTTTCCAGTTTTCCTTTGCTACAAAGAACACAGTGGGCTTGAAATTGGAAATGGGGGTTATGTGAACAGCGAAAAAAAACAGCCCTGGAATCAAATTATTCACACTTTTAGCTTCTTTTTTTCCTAAACTTTCTGTGTTGATAATTATACTTCCTAGAACATAATTATGGGTGCCTGCTTAGTATTCGGTGGTAAGGACTTACCCTAAATAATCTAACTTGTTTCCTATCAGTGGACATTGAGGTGGTTTCTAATTTTTGATGATTACACACCCGGCTGTGATGAATATCCAAGAAGCTAAATAAATCCGCACCGATGCTTGACACTGAGGTCAGTAGTCATATTTTCAAACCTCTGAAGCATAAGGAACCTGCCAGTAGTTGTAACTGCAAACTTTTTGGCAAAGGCCCAGAAGACTGGCTGAGGCTGAGAGGATTGTGACCCAGGTGCTGGGCTTGCCTGGGGTCAGTACCCATTTACCCAGCGCCCGTCACAGAGTGTTCAGCCTGACAGGGCCCTTTGGGACCACTGGGCTTGCATCGTCCTCTCACACTAGAGGGAACTGAGGCACCGGGAACTCAGGCGCTGGGGCCAGAGATGGTCTTTCAGCAGACCTCCCCCAGCACCCTGGCGCGCAGACTGGAAGCTGAGTTTTGAGATCAGCAATCTGACCTGGAAACCCCGCAAATGCTGCCTGTGCTCCCTTCTCAAACCGCTGATGGCTGAGGCTGGAGAGGGGATTCAGTCAGGCACTTCTGCAAATGTACTGCTCAGTAAAGGGGAGGGCATGGAAAGAAGACTTGAGGTCCAACCCACAGGCAGCCAGACCAGCCCCACCCAGACTCACCATTTTTCTCTAACCCGGGGGATATGCTTCATAGTAGTCACCCCATATCAGGTCCACCTGGCCAATCTATTTGGGGTTTGAACTGAAATAACGTGAGTCTCATTTGCCTCAGCTGAGTCAGTTGTCCCTCCTCACTGGAAACCAGCTTTGCTACAGGTCCCTCTCCCCAGCGCCTGACAGCTTTCTGTGGTTTCTAAGGCACTTCCCTGTTCCCTTCCCTCAGGCCTTGCTACCACCTGGGGAATTCGCACAAATGGTGTTTGATTTGCCCCTTTTGTGTTTTCCTTTCTGACTTGGAGGTAAAGAACCCCCCCCCCCCACCATTGACTCTCTGTTTATTCAACTGGGAGAAATTTCACACCCAGGAACACGGGTATACCTCCCCAAGCCCCTTTTCCTAAATCTTCACACACACACACACACACACACACACACACACACACACACACACACACACACACTGCTCCCCAGGTATCTCATCCCGGCATGTTCCTGAATAATTTATGAGTCCAGGCAGGCCTTATAAAAAGGTCTCCCAGGAAAAGCCAGAAAAGTGCGGGACATTCTGAGGAATCGCAGCCCCCACAGCCTGCCTGGCCTTTACACCCTAAGGATGGACCCTCCTGCCCCCACTGCTGTCACCCCTGACCTGGCCCTGGCCTCAGCTCCAGCCCTAGCACAGGGCTCCCTGGCACTGCCCTACCTGGGAAACCCATCGCCCCTTCTCTCCTCTGGACAAGAAGTAAATAAACATGAACGGTAAGTGGAACTTGGCCTTTGGTCATTTGAACTCAAGCTTAGTGGGGTTCCCGGGACAACAAAGGAAATGAGAAGTCCAGGGCCCCCCTCTTTTCTGTGCTCCCTCCACAGTTCAGACTCTAATATCTCAACTGGCTCTTCACCTCACTAATCCCTCTGACCGACAAGAGGAGACTTGGGGACAATGGGCAAAGCTGAAAACTGAGCAGCCAGGCCCTCATGTGCCAAGTTGCTCAGTCCACTGAGGGGCAAAGGGGAGACTACCAGGAAATCTGGATTGGACAGGACCTAGGCTGAAGAGCAGGGAACGAGGTTCAAAGTGCCAAGAGTCTGATGACCAAGGGACTGTCTCTTTCCTGACCACACCATAAGCTTTCCATTTGCTTTTTTTCTTACCTTTTGAAGTCTAGTGAGGAAGCAGTGGACCCAGAAATATATTTGGCCTCTTTCCCCATCCCAGGAAGAGGGCAGAACTATGAGCTCTACTTTTGGGGGCAGGAGGTAGGGGGCAAGATAGTTTCTACCCAACACTCATTCATTCCTCCAAATGTTTAACTGTTCACTAAACATTGACCAAAACACCTATTGTGTACCAGGCATTATGCTTAGGTGTTGGGGATTCAGATACCATCCAACATAAATCTGCCCTTAAGAAGCTCTAAGGTAACTAAACAGATAATCATCCAACGGGTATGATAACATTGTTGAAGCAGAGGAGGGCCATCTGTCTTGACCTGGACTCAGGGTCCTTAGGAAAGTCTTCCTGCAGGAGATGGAATCAGAGTCAAGTTTTTGGAGGGCCTCTTTTCTTATCTCAGGGAGCCCAGACTCTTTCTCCTCCACCAACTAATCTCTCCTCTTTGTCCTAGAGGAGCTTGTCTCTGGAGGCCCTGGCTGTCCTCTACAAATCACCTCCCCAGGCAGGTGAGGAAACATGTGGATTTGGTGAGTTGGAACCCCTATCCTACGTGTTCATGCACACACAAGACTACATGCAGGCACGCAGACCTGGTCCCTTCCCAGAGAGGCCCCCAACCTCTGACCTTCGACTCAGGCTGTAGACCTGGAAAAGCACTTTCCCAGCCTTGCCCACTTTTGATTCCCACAACAGCTCTAGGAGGAAGGCAGGGAGCCCTCTGGGGCAATTTAGCTGTGCAGAAAGCTGAGCCCCAGAGCATGAGAGGGACATGGGCAGGCTCCACGGTGCATGTGCAGTGGGGCTGGTGCTAGAATCATGGTCTCCTGGCACCCAACCCTGGCATTCTTTGCCACCCCCACCCCACCCCCATGTCTTTGCTGCTCCAGTAGAACTCTGTCCCCTGGACCATCTCCAAACAGGTGTTAGAACAAGGACAGGGAAGCAAACAACCCCCAGGACTGTATCCACTTGTTGCTCAACTAGAACCAGGACAGACCCCCTAATGGGGGAGTACTGAAACCCAGAGATGTCTAAGGTCTCTTCTAGATTATCTTACCTACAGGTTGCTGACCCCTGATACAGAAGAGGCAGTTATCTGACCATGCACTTTGAGCCACATGCTAACTTTTTGCTTTGGACAGGCCGCCAGTGGGACAACAGGTGCCAAGGTCACCAAGGTTGACTTTGAGTTCCATCACCCAGTCAGGTAAGCTTCTGGCACCAGGCGCAGAGCCTGATGTAGATCTATTAGCCTTTTAAATCCTCACAACAGCACTATAAGGCAGGAGGAGGGAGGTACTGCTATGATCACTCTTTCACAGACCAGGAAATGGAAGCTCAGAGAGGTTAAGGGACTTGGATAAGGTTGCCTTCCCTGGAGTCACTGTCAGTGACCCCTAAGAATGAGCCCTTGTGGAGAGATCAGTGAAGAAAGCCTTAGTAGGAGATGGAGGATACAGGGCTAGAAAATTCTTGGCTGCAGGCCTTCTGGGGTGGGGAGTATGGAGTGGGATCAGTTTCAGGATTGATACATGCCAGGCCTGGGTCTCTTCACAACTATAGGCCCACCAGGCATGACCTTCCTGCCTAGAGCCATTTTGTAACACTCCAGAAGGTTCTGTTGCAAAGCTCCCTTTCTTCTTTTTCCATCTCACCCCATTACTGCAAATAGAAGGAGTTTAGGGGCTGGTTTCTTTCTTGGCCCTACTGACACCTCTGCACATGGCAGCCTATCTAAGTTGGGGCCATATTTCTTCTCTGTCCACAGACTCTTCTGGCCTAAATCCTGCTCCTTTGACTACCTGTACAGTGATGGGGAGATTTTACTGCAGAACTTCCCTGTTCAGGCAACCATAAACCTCTATGAGGACTCAACCAGTGAGGAGGAGGAGGAAGTGGAGGACAGAGAAGAGGAGAAGAAAGAGGAAGCAGATGGAAAGGGGCCAGAAGGGTGTGTGAAGGTACCAGGGTCAGCACCATACAGAGCCAGAGCTCATTCTCCCTCCCTGCCCCTGATCTGTCCCAACTGAACCAGTCAGTCTGATGGGGTTCATTATGCCTGGAAGCATTTCAGGGCATTGATTAGCCAGGAATCCCCAGGAACAGTTCTCTGGATTGAAAGTTGGGTCCTCAAGTTACCAGCTCACCCTGGCTACACCCAATAGGTCTGTGAGCCCAGCCCTCTGGCATCTCATTGGGTTGCTGTTGTGTTGCCAGTGAGAGGGTCCTAGGAACTCTAGGGGAAGGAAAACTTGCTTTCTGAACCCCCCAGGGAGCAGATGAGGATGAAGAATGCCTATGCAGAGAACTTTCACTCTTCAGGGCTCTTTGACTACCCAACCATTCAGGTGGCCATGAAGTCCTGTCTTTCTGTGGTAAGCCCGATTTCTGGCTTCACTTCCACGGATGCAATACCAACACCAGTTGGGGTGCCTTTCTGATGGACCTTGCAGGAAGGAAAGGGGACATCTAAAACATCAGTCTACTTTGGGGACCTCTTCCCTTTTGGCTGTTATCTACTGGGGTCTGTATTTTGGCATGAGACAAATCAGAAGAAAAATAAACTAGATGATGTTTACCTTTTTTCCTGGAACTGGACTGATTTCTTAACTGAACTCTGCCCATGTTGTGAAGTCATAGGCAGAGGGTCAGAAACCAGCTCAAGGCCAATCCATTGCTCTACCTGAGGTCAATTGACAGATCTTTCTTCACAGGGATGTACCATGGGTGGCCCAACATGGGGCCAGGCCTTCTTGGTCAACTTGTCCAATCAGGTTTGATTAAACCTTAAAGACAGCTTGGAAAGGGAACAAAAAGGACCTCAGAGGGCAGCTTAAAAGTCAGAAGCAGAGCTGGAGGTGGGGGAAGGTGAGAGATGCAGCATCAGCTGAACCTTGGTGATGAGCCTGTGCGTGTGGGGAGTGGCCGTGAGAGGCGATCAAGTCCTAACAATGTTACCTTCTCAAATCCCTTTGTATCTGCCATAGCTCAGCTCCTCAGGCCCACCCCTGTTCCAAACAGCCTTTGAGTCATTTTCTTGCCTCCAGCATGTCCCGCGGCAATTCATCCTCCATGTGCGCGCATGTGTGCTAAGTTGCTTCAGTTGTGTCTGATTCTATGTGACCCTATGGACTGTAGCCCACCAGGCTTCTCTGTCCATGGGATTATCCAGGCAAGAATAGTGGAGTGGGTTGCCATGCCCTTCTCTAAGGGATCTTCCTCAACCCAGGGATCAAACCCTTGTCTCTGCATCTCCTGCATTGGCAGGAGGATTCTTTACCACTAGTGCCCCTGGGAAACTTACAGGCCACTAGATCAAAGACTGTGCCCCCTGCTCAAAGCCCTACCACAGCTTTTCATTGCCTCAGCAATAGTTGGACTTTGTTTTTTAAGTCGCAGATCTTCCTGGGAATCTATAGCTTCTCTACTAAGACATTCACAAATCAAGTCCTCAACTTGATATTCTAGGCTGTTCAATTGCTTGGTTCTGCTAGTCTCTTTAGACTTATCCCTCAACACTTGAAGCTCATGCTTCCTGTCTTTGAATGTGTCATGGATTCTAATCCCTCTGTGGCTTTAATGCTGTCTGGGACGCTTTTTCATTTTTGTGTCTGATAAGCTCCTATGCATCCAACAGGACTAACTCAGACACCTCTCCTGTGATAAGTCTCCCCAGACTCCCAAGCCCAGGCTGGGTGCCCCCATCATTCAGTACCTCAACCGTCTACCATAGCATCTACCTCTCTTCCTCTGCAGTAAGATGGGGCTGTGTTTGATATCACCATGTGGCTTGTTTGCACAGCACACTGTCTGGCACAAGAGAGGTGCCCAGACTTCCCATGTCTTTGCTGAGCTACAAGACAGTACAGGGTAGCATTATCTGATTTAGGAGCAGAACACTGCCCATCTTTCTTTCTCTCCTGTCTCAACTTAAGACAGGTTGCTTCAGTTCTGAGCCCTCATTGGAACTTCCCTTAATTGGGCACAGCCTTGGGCAGCCCACTAAACATACACTGGTGCCATCTATTGGTCAAAATTTAACTTCGTTCCTTAATTAAGGCTACCAGGCAGTTGACCTTTGATCACTTTAATTCTTTTAGGCCATTCTGTTTCTGCTTGTAGGTAAAGTGGAATTTACCAATCTTCTAACTGTATAACCTTGGGCTAGTTATTTATCCACTCTGAACCCCAGTCTCCTCATCTGTAAAATGGGAAAAGTCATGATACTTCCTCTCAGGGTTGTTGTAAGGATTCAGTGAGATAATATATTTAAAGTACTTAGCACAACTCCTGGCACATAGTAAAAGCACACAATTAGTAATGGTATTCATAGTAATCATAGTTGTAGCAGTGGTTATCATTAATTTTTTGATAGAAATCAGCTAGTAGGCTAGAGTCAGCTAATGACTGGATTTATTCAACTAAAGATTGATTTATCAGTCATCTCCACCAGATCTCCCTGGCACCATTTGATGGTTTACCAATCACATCATGTATTGTTTGTCCCCCATTAAGCAAACAAACAAAAGGAAACAGAGGCCAAATATGACTTCAACTTATCTTCTGAGCTTCAGCAGGAACACCCTTCTTTTGAACTGAATGCAGAGGGCCAACATACAAGCCAAATAAAGATGGAGCTGCCCTGGGAATTATAATGGGAGACACAGAACTCCTACTTTGGTGTCCTCTCTATGTAAACAAACTCTCTTCACTCCCTTTTTGTGAGGTACCATCAGAGGTCTCTAGATGGTGTGAAAGACTATTTGAAACCACTATCCCAAGGGTTAAACCAAGTTTGATTTGAAGTTGAAGAGGGATTAGTATTTTTAACATGTCCAGTGTTCAGATTAAAATCCTTGTTTTGGGTCCTAGGCTCCCAGCATTTCATTTCATTTGAGCATTTCATAGCTCAAAAATTGCTCAAGTCCTTGTACCATAGGTAGTAGGAATTTAAAATCTTTGGAATCCCAATATCTTTGGTTTTAGGGTATTATGTAGCATAGAATTACAAATCCCTAAATCCCCAGTGGCTTAAAGATCCTAAAACCCTTGGGCCAGTAATTCTTAACTCAATGAGCTCCTCTCACTTCCCTCTCTCCTCCCCCTTACTGAGCATGTGCAGTGGCAGCCATTTTGTCTCATTTTCATCCCAGTCCCTTGCCCTGAAATGGCTTCCAATCCTCTTCCCTCGACATAGTTGCTAAGTGATTGGAAGTCACTGTTCTGACTAATCAGAGTACAGTGTGAGTTGCTTTGTTGTCAAGAATGTATCCAGTCATTGTAGCAACGTCAAATCCAGTGCACAGACTCGGGACGGGGTGGAAATCTTTGCAAAACTGAGTCCTTCCTCTGGCTCCACCTAACTGGCCCATCCTAGTTGCCCATACTTCCTCATCCCAGCTCCTGTTTTCCCCATAGCAATGAGAACAGGGTACTTTGGTTGAGTGCAAGTCTTCATTTGAGCTGGGCCTTGAAGGATGGGCCCAGGTAGAGATGGAGAGAGAAAACTTTCCACAAAGAGGCAGCTGTGTGAATTCCTTCATTAAATGAATGTTTATTGAGCACCTCCTCCATGCCAGGCATTAATATTATAGTGATTAAGAGCATGAGCTTTGGAGGCAGATGTACCTCAGTTCAAATCCCATATCTGACACTGCTGGTTCCATCCATAGGCCCACTCCCCTCAGGTGTCAAGGTCAGTTGTTACCAACTCCACCTCTCTCCTCTTCTCCCCGACTGTACCTGTGTGGTTATCTAGTGGGCAGTTGGTCTCCTCTTCAACCCAGGCCCCTGTTGTAAAATGGTGGCCAATCCTCTTCCCAAACAAAGTTGTTAGGTGGCCTGAGTTCACTGTTTGGACCTCTCAGGGGCCTGGTGTTGGTTACTATGTTTTGGGTTTACTCCCCAGCTGGCAAGGCTTGTAGCAACCTCCGGGCAAGTGCACAAACCCAGGTAGAAAACCTGGCAAAGAGCGAGTCTTTAGGAAGTGGTAGTCATACATTCTCCAAGGCACTTGCTGCTCACATTACCCACCATGATCTCCTATGGTACTATAATCACAACAATCCTGAGAGAGACACCACTGTTATGTCCATTTATGAATGAGAAACTTAAGGTTAGTAAGGATTTTGTCCCTGGGTTTGTGTGTTTGTGTGGAGGTTACTATGAGCATGGCCACTTCTTAGGATGAGGCACTTTACCCTATTACCTCATTTAATCCTTACAACAACTCTAATACATAAGTACTGTTATTACCCCCACTTCAAAAATGAACAAACTGAGATTTGGAGAGTTTAAGGAATCTGCCTAAGGTCACACCATGAATCAATGGCTGAGCACAGATTTGAATGATTACAGAACTTCCCCAGGTTACGCCAGTAATAAGCAGCAGAACCAGGCTTCCGGTCTGTCTCACGGCAGAGCCCCAGTGCTTTTAGGAAGTGGAGTCTACAGACCTTGGTGAAGGATTCAATTTGTGAGAGGGCAAGAGAGAAAACGTTTCAACTCCAGCTAGAGGGAAGTAAATCAGAGATTAGGAACAATTCTGAGCCAGGAAGAGCTGAGGGCTGCTGAAAGGTGTCACCAAGAGAGGGATATTTGAGGGCCTCCTGCTGGGCAGTGGCAGCCTCTCACAGAGCCTGGGCTTTTTGGGGCACAGGGCTACCAGAGGCCAGGGCCGGATGAGGGACTTCTGTTCCACCCCTCAGTGCTGTGCAACCTCTGTGTGGACTCCATTCTGGCTGGGTGAGCTTCCTTCTGGCTGAAGGGTCTGGGCCCAAAAGGAGAAACTTTCAATAGCCCAGCTCTCCTGAGATGCACCAGGCACTGAGCTCAGCACCCCACATGCTTTATTCTGAACAAGGCTCACCAAATCCCAGCAGGGTGGGGTGGGAAGTTGCTATCCTCATGTTTACAGATAGGAAAAGGGGGCTCAGAGAGTTAAGATTACCTCAGCAAGGCCAGAAAGTGGGGAACCTGAGGGAGACCCAGACAGTGTAGGCACAGAGTTCTGGCTCTTAACTACTCGGCT